TTATCAAAAAGAACCGCTCGAACAGCCACTGCCTCAAGGGATGTTTGGAGTTGTAAGTGTGTGCATGCAATTCCTTGATTCACTATGATGGCAACACCTCCGGATGATGTCATGGCATCATCACGGTCCTTTCGAAAAATAACGTATTTGCGAAGAAAATTCGTGTTTTGAATTAAGGTGTGTTTCTTGTACACACAGCACTTTTGGTGAGTGTTCGTGTAGGAGTTCTTGGATGTCGTCAAGATTTCTGAGGAGGCCCCTGACGTTCCATTGTATAATTTGAGTGTTCATGGTGAATGTAAAATAATGCTGTGTGTACGAAAAGCGAGTGGCTGTTTAGACGGGGAGTTTGAGTTCACTTAACAGAGCCGTCACCAGGCCCTGTTATTTGCTCTTTTGTTTTCTTGGCGCCCTCCAAGGAGCCACGCCGCTGTTTCGGCACCAAGGGTGCCGACGTATCCATTGCCTCCTCGGAGGCACTGGATGCCCGCACGTGCGGGCTGTTAGTTTGGATTTTGGGCCCCGCCTGGTGAGGGGAGGCCCTGAGACTCGAAGACTCTGGAGTCTCCGGTCTCTGTTTGGGAGTAGGCGGTGTAGCCTGGGCTACAGCCGCCTTGCGGGCAGGTGCCACAGCCGACGGCTCGCTCTGCGCAGGCCGAAGGAGTGGCGAGGGCTGGTGCGGCGTTGCCCCCTGACGCGCCGCATCAGCATATGTTGCGCCGTAAAATGGCGACACTCTTCGTCTTGCTTCTTTGAATGTGATGTTTTCTTTGACTTTAAGAGTGATTATTTCTTTTTCTTTCTTCCAGTTAGGACACAAACGCGAATACGCAGCGTGTTCCCCGTCACAATTCACGCAGTGAGGCGTAGTAACACAGTTATCAGATGGGTGGCCGTGGCTACCACATCTTGCACAAGTTTCCTGACCCCGGCAGTTCTGCGAGCCATCACCAAATCGTTGACATTTATAACATCGTCTTGGATTTGGAATGTAGGGACGGACAGAGAGTTTGATGTAGCCTGTGTCTATAGATGAAGGCAGTGTGCTAGATGCAAAAGTGAGTATTATATGTTTGGTAGGTAATTCTTTGTTGTCGCGTCTGATGACGATTCGTTTCACATCCGTGACATTTTGCTCTTTCCACCCTTCAAGCAGTTCCTGTTCAGACATTTCAAGAAGGTCTGCCTCTGAGACAACTCCGCGTGAGGTGTTCATTGATCTATGAGGTGTAACAGATACTGGGATATTACCAAATGCTTTGAGACTGCCAAGTTTTTCATAGTGGTGTTTTTCTGGCAGCTCAAGAAGAAGGTCTCCGCTAGCCATCTTTGTAACCTTGTATCCTGGGCCAAAGAGCTCAGTCAGAGATTTAGCAACGAGAAATGGAGATATGGCTCTGGCTTGTTTTGTTGGCTTTTCGCTGTGCACTACATGTAATTTCGGAAAACATTGTCTGGGTTGGTTGAAAATTAATATTTCATCGGTGCGTCCCCTCTTAAGCGGAAGACGATCTAGGAGATGGGGAAATGCAGGTGTTCCCATAGTAGTGTACTTTTTTTTCGGCAGCAATGGCGACCACCCACCATGGAGTCCAACCAGGGGACGCTGAAGCACTTAATAGCATAAGGCTGCAGACGCCAGCCGTACATTGCCACTATAACCAAATATAAGTACTCAAGGTTGAGTAATTACACAAGGTTAACCCTTGCCGCCAGGAAAAATCGGAAGTAAATGGATGAGAAAAGAAGACAGGACCGATGAGAAAAGACTAAGATGTAGGAAGAGAGAGATAGGAAAAGGTGACTGCCGATTTCCCCTGGGTGGGTCAGCCCAGGGGTGTCGTCTACGTGAAGCCGGGGCCAAAGGGGTGTGTTGCCTCTGCCGGGGGGCCTTAAAGGTCCAATCACCCAGCGTCGGCTCAACCCCCAGGATTCCCTTTCCCCCAGACACGGCAAAGCCACGCACGGCTAGGCGTGGGAGGGAGTAGAAACTCCCCCGTTAGCTCGGGTCCGTGGTGTCGCTACACATCAAATGCCTACTTGCGCAGGTGCCCCTGCGGGCACAACGAACACATTGTTTGACTAGGTATTCGCTCTGTCATCAACGGCATCGTTGTCAGGGCGCAAGCGATTTAGGCTCAGCGATGACATCGCTCTCGTAAAAGAGTTCTTATATGTGAATCCTTTCCTTGACCCTGCGAGGTGGCTGAAGATAGCCGATCGGCTCTCCGAGCTGCTCGGCATGTACTTTAGCATTCGCAGTGTTAGCAAAAGGCTTAACTTAATTCTCCTGCATTTTTCGCGGGATCAGAAGAAGAAAATTAAGAGGTAAGTGCGTCTCGTTTTGGACTTTGTAATGTACTCCTCTTCCCATTCACAAAAATTGCGAATACTGGCTCCGCAATAGTTCAGCTCCGACTGCACCTGTTCTGTACCGAGAGGACCTCCTGCATTAAGCGGGTGACTTAGCACGCGAACGCGGCTACATTCCACCGCCGTCAACCGAATGACTGCTCGCTGCGTATGACTGCTCGCTCAACACGATGGCATCAAAAGACCCACATGAACTTCGTCGCCCGCCCACCAGCGAAACGTCGCGTAGATAATAGGGAAGAAGCAGCCCTGGCAGCCTACAGGAGTTCACAGCGGGGACGGTGTTGAGCCTGGAAAGAAACGTGCTTATTTTGCAATTCTCACTCATTCTTAACTGATAGTGAGCCATACGCTTGGCCTGCGTTACACTTATAGGTGGTGTCATTTGACCAATTTCATGATACCACAGTGCTTCACCGGTTGAGTAAGTTAAGAAGAGAGTATGACAAATTGGACAAATATTTGTAAACATTTGCTTTTTGCACAACCATAGCAGGCGCGACCTCTGAAAGTTTTCTGTGTGAAATCTGAAAGCAGCAGCCATGTTTAGCAGCACCCTTTGCAGCCTGTTGTTCGATTTAATTAGGTGCTACGTGTGCGTCACTGAGGTATATTTAACAGATAGGTGGAGACAGAGATATAGCAATGTATAATAAAATTCCCGAATATGTTTGCTTGGTTGCCTAGCTTGCTACTTCATGTGTAAGGTGATTACTGTGATGTATAAAATGATCACATGTACAAAAAGATATGTCTACTCAGAAACAGACACATTCTTAGAAAAGAGTCACACAGAGAACATTGAACATGAGTTATATCAAGTGACAAAGTTGATAATGCTGCAGCGATGACGTGCAGTCAGCTTGCCGGAATAGGCAAATTTGAATATCTTCCTGCAAGCCTTCATCCTGTAGTAGACAAGAAATTCTTATGAATATGCAATTGTTTTCAGTGTTACATAATGATTTCACCAGTTACATAACATTTTACTATGCCAGAGTTTGAACTATTCTGCCAAAGGTTGAGGAATAGCTGTCTTACCAAAGAAGGCTCTGATATGAGATTCAGTGTCCAGGAAAGATTAGAACTTCACTCTTCTAAACCAAATGGCGGGAATCAATGTCAGACAGATTGTCGAGCTTAGATGCTGGCTGGATTGAATGATCAGGCAAAAGAACATGTATAAACTTGATAAAGCTTTTTTTTTTTTTCAAGAGATTAGGTGACACTTTTACCTTCAACAGCTTTGCACAAGGCTGAAATAGACTATTTATAACTATACCTGAAAATATTGTCTAGCTGGAGTTTCTAGATTTTTTTTTTCAACACGTGGTTCACCATTTCTTATATAATTCTTGTTATTCATGTGTAACCTACTAATTATATGTAAGTACTTATATTCACTCTCTTTTGCTTCTTGTTCGTTGGTTTGGAGCCATCATGTTATAACAAATCAAACTTCTTCTGGCTATATTAAATAGAGTTCAATAAACAATGTTTTCTTTCTGACCAGCTGATGGTGCTAGCAGGTCACAGGCTCAAACACTGCTTAACTCTAAGTATGAGCTGGACAACCTAGAGTTTTGAATGGATCTGCCTGACTATGGTGAGTGAAAATACAGCGAGAAACTGAAAAGTTTTCATCACACATGTGCTGAATACACTGTTGCATAAACTAGTGAATGATGTAACACGCGTAGTTAGGCTAGATGGTATTAAATCATTTTAAGACTGGAAAATGCACATACACAAACACGAACACAAGGAAAAAATGGTAACCCCATGGGCTCCATAAAATAGTCAGTGAACTCCCGTAAAGACGAACTCGTTTAAGACGACTTCTTGCTTATGCCGAACAACGTGAGAATGTATGTTTGGTTTTTCATAGACCCGATGCAAAAAAAATCCGCTTAAGACGAACAGCCTTGCACCTGCTCTTCTGTTAAGACGAACACTTTCACGGAGAAGGGGAGACCGAGGCGATTCTACAGAGGAATTATGGCAATCTTGAAGGGGCGTTCCCGCGGCCGGAGAGAAAGAAAATACAAAAGCAGCAACGGCGCGAAGCGAATTCACGCCACGGCAGAGGGAGGGAGGCAGCGACAAAAGAATGGCCCGCAGCATTACCCGCACTTGAACCCGCAGAGCGAGCGGCAAAGCAAAGAAAAAGAAAATGAGAGAGCGAGAGAGTTTTGAGATCCGCTATCGGCCGCGAAGAAGCAAGCAAGGGAAAAGGTAAAAAAACAAAATGACGACCGAGACTTCCTATTTGCGAAGAGAGCAGCTCTCATGACCAATGCCATTTCTCAGCGGGAACATATGAGCTCGCGTCGTACAGCCACAGCTCTCTCCACGTGGATGTTCTACCTCTCCAACCTCACCGTCGCTGCCGCCGCCATCGCCGAGGAAACGAGTTCTTTCTCTGCGCCGAGCCCGCGCTCGCACGTTTTCTATTCCATGCGCTTTGTTTGATTCGCTTGTCTCGTTGAAAATGGCCAGCAAGCCAACTGTACGACGAGAGGCAATCCTTTTGTCCAAAGTGAAAGCTGGCAAAAATTTTGTCCGAAGTGAGAGCTGGCAAGCTCACGAAGACCGAGATTGCACGCAAGTTCGGGATTGCCAAGAGCATGCAAACGGGCATCGTGAAGAAAAGTGCGCGGGTAACCGTTGCATTGAGCGATGGAGACTTCGCGCCGAAGCGAAAGAAGATGCGGACGGCTGCGCACAAGGGCTTGGAGGATGTTCTGCTCGCATGGATCCAACGTGCTCGTAGCGTGAATCTGCCAGTGAACGGCGTAGTTCTGAAGGCAAAAGCGGAGGAAATTGCCCTACGAATGAACATTGAGTTTGCCTACAGCGACGGATGGCTCGATCGCTTCAGAAAAAGACACGGACTTGTGTTCCGAGCTATTGCCGGTGAGGCCGCCGCCGTTGATGAAGTGACCTGCAACGATTGGAGGCTCACCAACCTGAAGGAGATTCTTCAGGATTATGACCCCGGCGACGTCTACAACGTCGACGAGACAGCCCTCTATTACCAGCTGCTTCCACAGAAGACGCTCGCTTTCACTTGCGACGACTGCACAGGGGAAAAGCACAGCAAGGTGAGGGTTACCGTACTCGTTGGGGCAAGCATGTCAGGAAGCGACAAGCCGAAACTGTCGGTCATCAGCAAATCAAGATCGCCGCGCTGCTCCAAGCACACCAAAACGCTGCCGGTGACCTACACGGCCAACTCAAAATCCTGGATGACTCAGTAGATTTTCAAGGAGTGGCTGCGAGACATGGATCACCGTTTCCAGAAAGAAAAGAGATGCGTCATAATCCCGTTAGACAACTGCCCTGGGCACGGGCACGTCGCCAACCTTCAGGCCATTCGCTTGGAGTTTTTGCCCGCGAACATTGTAGTTTTTGCCCGCGAACACCACAGCCAAGCTTCAGCCAATGGACCAGGGGGTGATCACCAGCCTGAAAAGGCACTATCGCTGATCTCTTCTGCAGAGAATGGTACTGTGAATGGAGAGCGACAAACAGTACACAGTGGACTTGCTTACAGCACTTCACCTCCTCACAAATGCCTGGAGCCAGGTGACTGACATGACTATAATAAATTCATTCCGTCATGCTGGTTTTGTGGTGCCCGAGTGCTCGGCGCAGGACAGTTGCAAAGACGACGAGGAAGAGGTGAGCCTCGTTGCCTCGCTAGGCAATAAAGGACTCGTCGTGGACATAGGCAGTTATGTCACTGTCGATGAAGATGTGCCAACCTGCAGGGAGGACACAATGGACACATTGATTGATGAGGTTCTAGAGGTTCCTTCGGAGGTGACGTCGGAGGATGACGGAGATGCCAGCATGGGCCTGCGCCCGTGGCAAATGATGCTGCAGATCTCTACACCAGTTCGTTAAGGAACTATTTGGAGCAGCCTGAAGGAACTGAAGTGTTTTTGAGATCACTAGGACATATGGCGTCATTTGTGGCTGCTCGCCGATTTGCACAACAGCGACAGACGTCCATTATGGACTGGATCAAGCCGAGAAAGAGCACTTGAACGCAGTTGCCTATCAAATTACTCCCTCAAATAAATTATTTTTGTGTCTTTTTCCATCACTGTAAGTGTACTTGATACTTTGTTTTTAACTAAGATATTTGCATGCACCTAGGTATGTAGTCAATTCTTTTTTCGCGGGTGCTTCTGATAAGACGAACAATTCTTCATGGTTCCTTCGAGTTCGTCTTAAAGGGAGTTTACTCATTTCCAGTAAGGTGGGCCTTTCAGCATGAACTCAAATTACTTTCCATTATTTTTCTCTTTTCTCCTACCTGTTATTTTTAGCCTTGCAGTGGGTTCTTGAAGCTACTAAGGCTGCAATAGGGGCTAGTTGATAGTTTGTGCACCACCCTATGTTGTTCGTAATTTTTTTTTTTGGTCCATATTATACCTGGGAGATCATCAAAAATAAGGTTTTTCATGTAATTGCACCGGCACTATTCAGCCCTAGCCTCCAGCATGTAACTAAGACACCGGAAAGGGCCTGTATTCCTCATCAAAAGAGCTGCTGCCTGAAAACAGTTATTGCTGATGTGCATTGGAAAGAAAAGCTAGGTCCAAGCTCAAAGCACACAGCACAGCTCTTATGTTGGTTCACTTGTGATGTAAAGAACTTGAAGACAACCCGACGGCCTCATGCCCTCCACCTGACCTCATTGCAACTGCTGCACCAAGCCGTGCTCAAACCCCAACATCAAGCCCTTCAAAAGTTGCGCAGCAGGTTTGTAATACCTAGTTTCGTTGCTGCGTGCCTACAGATTCAAATTATTATCGTCATCAGTGCTTTCAACATCGACAAAAGTGGCTTTAGGCGCAGCTATCGAGTGTAGGAAATCATTCAAGATGGCCTGAAAAATTCCATTTTGTACCATGAAAGAAATACAGGGTCAGATTTTAACTGTTGCTAACATTTAGTTAGCAAGTCCTCATTTAAAATAATATGAGCTCAGCAAAGACTTCGACTTCTGTTACATTTAGCGAGCCATAATTTGCAATGATCGCAATGTTGTCAAAATAACATAAAGATAAAAGATAAAAAAATCTTAGTTAGACTCGTAACGGACAATAGTGACCACTTGCATAAAACTGTGGTCAAAGTAAAAAATAAATAGAAAGCATGCGCTTGGCAGCGGCCCCTCTCGGAATAAAAGGTTTAGTGGCGCTTATGCTTGGCCCGGCGCAGGCTCTGCTGGCGCCCTGGCCCTGTGTACTTCGCTTTGTTCAATTGGGGCAGTTGGGGGTGTTTGGCCTCATGGTTTGTCATTGTGTATCCTGTTGGCCTCTGTGCATTGCGGACGTGATCGTGGTGTGATGGAACCGATGGAGCCGAACGCATTAGCACTATCATCCACGCCAAAGAGGCAGTCTTGGCGAAGGTATTGACGAAGGTATTGTGCACTCAGTGAAGTCACGGTACCGCTCACGCCTTGCTGAGCGTTTGCTTTTTGACATGCAGCAGAAGCGGGACTCAGTGATCGACCTGAAATTTGCCGTGCAGGTGCTGTCAACTGTATGGGCGCAGATTCAGCCAGGAATCGTAAAGAATTGCTTTAGGAAAGCAGGTTTCCGAGTCGACAGCGACTGCACAGACTGCTTGCCACAGGAAGACCAACCAGATCCTGGTGTGTGGTCAGCTGTGGAGGAGGCCTTTGGGAGCCAGCAGTTTTCGGAATACGTCACTGCAGATGATGACCTGGTCAGCTCAGAGCAGCTGACAGATGAAGAGATTGTAGCCCAAATTCGCCAAGTGCCTAATGCTGAGCAAGAAGAAGAACAAAATGAAGAAGGCAACTCAGGGATTGTCACAGAGGAGGTCACAACTTCTCAGGCGTTGGACTACATTCGAGGGCTCAAAAACTATTTTGAACAACAGGCCACGACTTCAGATGAAATGAACACACTTGTCATGATGGAGACACGTATAGTGTCTAAAGCTGTCCGCCACACAGTACAGGCAAAGCTGACTAGCTTCTTTCAAAACATTTGATAAATCTGTTATTTGACTATGTTTGTGACTTTCAATTCTCTCCTGTTATAACAGACTCATTACGTGTTTACGTAAATGTCTGTTGTAACAGTACATGGATTGTACAGACTCTTTTTACAACAGACCAAATCCTCTTCACTATGAAGGTCTGTTGTAACGAGGTTATACTGTATTCAAAAACTAGTTGTATAGCTTCATCATGGATTCACTTCTTTTAGTTGCCCTTGCTGCCTTTCTTCCTTTTCTTTGTCTCCCTGTAAATAAGTCTGCTTTATATGCATTAGGACTCAAGTAGCAGCCTCCTTCTGAACTTGTTCACTTGTGATCTCTTGGACCACCAGGAAATGCAACTGTGCGTGGAAGCCCCCCTGATGCCCACACTGGTGGGACCAGACGGGTGGCCAACACTCGTGTGCCTCTGCAAAATCTATAACAAAAAAAAAAAGGAAAGCTTGGTCATATCAGTCCATCTTGTATTTTGCCTAGTAGAAAACAAGAGTACCATTCAAAATGCAGCTACACGATTGCAAACAAAGGTGCTTGCTATTGAAGACAAGAGTAAAAAAACACTTTAATTGTTTAGTAAATCTTTCTTTGATAGAACTTATTTCTCTGTACCCCAAAATCTCTGAGTATATGACTTTATCGCATCTTTAGTCTTGGCCAGGAAAGGAGACATAGGCAAACTGGTGTATCGTGTGTCCTTCTACGTTAGGCAAATTGATGACATGGCATGTGCTTAGGTGTGACATCGCCTGGGTGCGGTTGTGGCCTTCAATAGATCCACACTTTCAGGGACATGTGGCCACTCTCACTGTGAGAAATGTTTGAGCACATGTGATCCTCTTCCAGTCGGTTGCAATGACGTGAACTTGCAGTGAAGTCAAGGTGGCAATAAAAGGTGCTACTCTTCAGTGCAGTGAAGCGACAACATTTGGAAGTGGCAAGAACACCGCAATTCGGAAAAGGATCAATTGAAATAAGAAAAGAAAGGATATGTCTAATCATGAACCAATATAGCTGTATTGAAGTGACAATGCATGTCAAGTATTTGCAGCAAAGTTTAGATGCACAGATGAAAATAAAAGGAATACGAAGACACTGCTAGCTACCCGCACTGCTAGCTACTCGCCAAGCCTCTGTAGATTATATGGTTTCTGTTATCTGCAGTTAAAAACTGCTTGTCAAAGATTGGAACAAGAAAAAACATATAAACATTAGTGGAGCACTTATCATGGAGGTAGTTGATTCTTTTAAGATGAAGCTTCATTAAGAAGCTGCGTTCTTTTTTTTTTTTCAGTTCTGTTTGAAGTTAGCAGGGCGAGAGCTACTATCTTTGATGTCACTTCCACCTTAAAAGGGACAGAGTCAATACTCATTGTAGTTAATAAAATAGAATCAATTTGTTTTTACACTTAGAAACCAAGTTGATTCCTTGATGTTGTGAATAAAATAGAATCAATTCTTTTTTTTCAATTGGAAACAAATGTCACAATTCATTTCAGCAGAAGATTTTACATTCACAAAAGTGCTGCCTTTTTTGCCCACTCTCAAGTCTATGTGCTTTGGTCATCACTAGATTCTAAACGGAAAATGGTTTTCATGATGAGTTGCAATAGCGCCAACTTTTGTATACTAAATTGAAAAGCTCTTATTCTTTTCAGAGAGAACTCAAATATTACACGGCAAGTAATTGGCTCATGTTGATTAGTATCGAGATGTCTTGAAGCCCATATATGCTTACTTTCATAATTGTTGCATATATTTTACTTAACACACTTATTCTAAACAAACTGTTTTTTTTATGTTCTGCTGATGGGATATAATTAATTTATCCTGGGATATATTTATTGTTTCCAGTGCAGCAGTAGGCACAAAAATAACTTTAAAAAGCGTGGTTCTTCTACATTCTCATGAACTAAATCCAAATACAGTACAGTGAATCCCAGGATTTGTGGAGATCGATTTCATGTGAAAGAGTCAATGACAAGCTGTCTTGGCTGCATTTTTTTTACTCCAGTCAATTTTTACTAAGTTGATATATATATTAATGTAATCTTAGTAGCTGTCAGCATATCAAGGGCTTACCAGGCATGTCGATCACACTGATGCCTGAGGAGTAGCTGATGGTGCAATATTATGCCTGCACTCACATCTGTGCATTTAAGAGCAGAGACTTCGCGTTTATAAAAATCAGGTGTATGCTACCGCGCGATGACGT